GGCTGGACTAGATGACCTCTCGAGGTCCCTTCCAGTCCTGCATTGCTAGGAGTCTAGGTTACAGCTGTTCTGGGGCTGGGCCCAGGGCCCTGGGGGATCTAAGCGTGGTGTATGGCACACGGCAGAGTTAACATGTTCGTGACCCTGGCAGCTGGCAGCTCAGCATCCCTGCCAGGGGCCTAGGCTGGCACATGTCTGGCTGCCTGTATCCAGCTCAGCTGGGTGTTACTGTGCTGTCTGGACAGGACCTAGGGTTGGAACCGGGACAGGTTTCCCAGGATTGTCCCTTTGTTCAGGTCGCTGACCTGGGAAATCTGTGAGTCTGCCCAGGACATTACTAGCCCCAAGTGAGATGGGGAGTGCGGGACCAGTAGGGCCCATTTACACGGTTCAAGTACCGGATGTGGGGGTCACTACTGGGGTGGGAGGGGAGTAGATCTGCACCATGTCCTGCTTGGCGAGGTTGGTGCCTGGCCCAGCCCCAGGAACAAGAGGGACATCCAGGACAGCCAGAGAACATCCAGGGGTGGGATGGGGACACAGTGCCTGGGGTGAGGGGACAGGCGGTGTATGTAGAGCAGGCAGATGTCCTGGTTTTTTTGCACCTCAGAGGTGGCAACCCTGTAACTGGTGTTTGTGTAACTGCCCTGGGTGTCCCCTCCTCCAGCTCTGTGTGGTAGGATACCCCGGAGTGCATGGACCCCTGGGCCAGTGGTGCTACAATGTGTGTGCATGGCCCCTGGGCTCTCTGATCCCTGCTGGAGCTGCCCAGACTCTCCCAGCAGGCACCAGGGCACACACACGGACAGGCTGCAGGCTGGGAGCAAACACACACACAGCTCAGCCACAGAAAAGCTGCCTCGTGGTCTGGGCACTGTTTGTTGTAACTGGGTCAGGGGAGTGTCACAAGCTGGTTATAAAAACCTGTCTGCCCTGGCAGTGGGGACAGGGCCTTCCTCCCCCCAGATCCAGGGAGACACTGAACAGCTCCTGTCTGGTCCTGTTACGCTAGAAGGAAATTGTGGCTAAAGCTTGGTGTGAGCGTAGCGATGCTGCTGCTGGGAGGAGAGAGCTGAGCAGGTCTGTTTAATTATGGACAGCTGAGAATGTCCCTCCTGCAGAGCCCAGGTACCGTCCTGGAAAGGTGACACCAGGGGGCAGCATTTCCTCACTAATCAGCCCTTTCCCAAAGGGGGCATGTCCCTGCTGTGCAATAAACCTGGGTTTTGTCTGCCCCTTTCCATCTGCCCCCAGTGACATTGCTGTTTCCAGCCTATTGCTTTTGGTAAGAAAGTGCTGGTGCACTGGGGAAATGAGGAGAGAGCTCTCAGGGGCAGGTGGGATGCTGACGTGAATGAAGTGTCAGTTTTTGGTACAGTACCTGCATATAGCTGGGCTCTTCTCAGCCCTGAAAGCAAACACAGAGAGAGAGAAATGAGAACTCCTCTGAACACAGACACGCTGAGCAGGACACAGTGTAGAACACAGATTATATTAAGGGTGTGTATGTGGGGGGCAGGAAATGGAACTTACCAAGCCCAAATTCAGTGAAGAGTTTCCCTAAGAAAACAATAAATAAATACAGGTTTCAGAGGAACAGCCGTATTAGTCAGTATTCGCAAAAGAAAAGGAGTACTTGTGGCACCTTAGAGACTAACCAATTTATTTGAGCATGAGCTTTCGTGAGCTACAGCTCACTTCATCAGATACATCTGATGTAGTGAGCTGTAGCTCACGAAAGCTCATGCTCAAATAAATTGGTTAGTCTCTAAGGTGCCACAAGTACTCCTTTTCTTTTTGCGAATAAATAAATAGATCTGAATTCATGTGTGACGAAGTGGGACTGTTCTTAATGTTTCCTCTGAATAGTGTGGGGGTGCCTCAGTTTCCCCTAGGCAGTTCTTAAGTATCTAGGTGGTGGGGTAAGGGTGTATGATCATTGCAGTGCCCTAGAGGGCATGTGTGTGCAGGAGTCTGGACACAGAGAATGGCCGACACCCTGTTTCCTGGCAACTGATGGCCTGGGCCCTTCCCCCCTGCAAGGTGAGAGCTGAAGGGTTGGAGAACAAAGGAATCAGGTGACCTCCTGGCCCGGGAAAGGAACAAAGCCCAGAGGAGGAGGGGCTGGAGGGGTTTTCAGTTTGGGGCTGGCTGGGACATGGAGTGAAGTGCAGACGTGGTTGTCTGGCTCACTGCCCCCAAAATGGACCCAGCTGAGGGGTCCGTTCTCTGCACCTGCAAGCTCTGTTTTAGACCATGTTCCTGTCGTCTAATAAACCTTCTGTTTTACTGGCTGGCTGAGAGTCACGTCTGACTGCGAAGTTGGGGTGCAGGACCCTCTGGCTTCCCCAGGAGCCCCGCCTGAGCGGACTCGCTGGGGAAGCGCACGGAGGGGCAGAGGATGCTGAATGCTCCGAGGTCAGACCCAGGAAGGTGGAAGCTGTGTGAGCTGCGTGTCCTGAAGACAGGCTGCTCACAGAAAGGCGACTGCCCCAGAGTCCTGACTGGCTTCATGGGGAGCAGTTCCAGAGCATCGCCCAGGGACTCCGTGACAACTGGTGGCAGCGGTGGGATCTACTGCACCCCGTGGATGGCGCTTCCTGCAGTAAGTGACTGGGGAGCAGTAACACGAAGGGGGATTGCCGAGGACCAGGCCTGCTGAAGGCTCAGAAAGGAGCGGTTTCGGGGGGCGGTTAACCCCTGGGAGTGTGTGACCAGCGAGAAGTACTGTGCAGTAATGGGGTCCCCCTGGGGACTGCAGTGAGCAGTCTCAGGGGCGGAGGAGTCTGCAGCTCGACCCTGGCAAAGAGGTGGTGACCTCGAGAAGGGCTGGCACACTAGGGGTTCTCCCTGGAAACCGTGGGGAGCTGAGAACACACGGGCCTGTGAGTCCAGAACAACTTGGGAGGAGCGGAGTGATGGCCTGTCACCGTCTCCTTAAGAAGGACTTTGTAACCCTGTGCAGAAAGAGAGGGTTGAGCATTGGAAAGTTCACCAAAGCAGAGTTAATCGTGCAGCTGGAGGAGGATGACCGCTCTAAGGAACAGATTCCTGACCCCAACTGGGGCTATAGCAGGATCTGGGAGCAGCTGAAGCGGGAGCCAGGCATCGCCAAGACTCCTGTCCCGACCAGACGAGGGTCTTCATGATCGGGTTCCCCATCGGGGGATCGAGACGGACGGGATTGGAGCTGAGTCTGAGAGAGCAAGAGGACCGTGGGAGACAGCGAGAGCCCGAGAAAGAGCTGCAGAAGCAGCAGCAGCATGAACTGGCGGTGGTGGGGGGCGGAGAGGCCTAGGGGACCTCCCCGGGGGTGAGTGGGGATAGATCCCGGGGGGCCAGTTCCGCAGGGAACCTCGAGACTAAATTGCTGCCCCTGGTTAAGGAGGGGGGGGTGTGGATGCCCACCTCACTGCCTTTGAGCAGGCTGGCGATTTGAACCAAGGGGACCCTGCGGAAAAGCCCCGGTGTCTAGCTCCCTTGCTGGGTCCCAAGGCCATAGACTCCGTCAGCCAGGTGGTTGGGGATGTGGACAGGCTCCCACTCCTGACCCCAACCTATATGTCTGTGTGGAGTTTCCTGGGGCCAGGCCCCCCGGACCTCCAGTGGGAGTAGAAGGTGATGGTCAATGGGGAGACATTCTTGGGGTGGCCAAAGGGCATGGGCTGCATAAACCTTCCCACATGCGGCCTGCGAGTGCTATCGACCACCCCTGACCTAAGGGAGGGCGTGAAACTGGAAGGGCCTGGTGTAACTCCTACCAAGGAATGGGAGAGATGCTGGGGCATCCATGGGAACGTTGGTGGCTTCGAACTTCCCCAGGTCACCGGCTAAAGTGACCCCGCTCAGTTCGATCTCGAAGGGGGAGAGATGTGACGAAGTGGGACTGTTCTTAATGTTTCCTCTGAATAGTGTGGGGGTGCCTCAGTTTCCCCTAGGCAGTTCTTAAGTATCTAGGTGGTGGGGTAAGGGTGTATGATCATTGCAGTGCCCTAGAGGGCATGTGTGTGCAGGAGTCTGGACACAGAGAATGGCCGACACCCTGTTTCCTGGCAACTGATGGCCTGGGCCCTTCCCCCCTGCAAGGTGAGAGCTGAAGGGTTGGAGAACAAAGGAATCAGGTGACCTCCTGGCCCGGGAAAGGAACAAAGCCCAGAGGAGGAGGGGCTGGAGGGAGTTTCAGTTTGGGGCTGGCTGGGACATGGAGTGAAGGGCAGACGTGGTTGTCTGGCTCACTGCCCCCCAAAATGGACCCAGCTGAGGGGTCCCGTTCTCTGCACCTGCAAGCTCTGTTTTAGACCATGTTCCTGTCGTCTAATAAACCTTCTGTTTTACTGGCTGGCTGAGAGTCACGTCTGACTGTGAAGTTGGGGTGCAGGACCCTCTGGCTTCCCCCAGGAGCCCCGCCTGAGCGGACTCGCTGGGGAAGCGCACGGAGGGGCAGAGGATGCTGAATGCTCCGAGGTCAGACCCAGGAAGGTGGAAGCTGTGTGAGCTGCGTGTCCTGAAGACAGGCTGCTCACAGAAAGGCGACTGCCCCAGAGTCCTGACTGGCTTCATGGGGAGCAGTTCCAGAGCATCGCCCAGGGACTCCGTGACATCATGCTTATAAAAAAGGGATGGGAGCGAAAAACCTAAAAGGAGTTTAACTCGTTAGACAAAAGATGCACCTAGGCATTCACAACAGATCCAGACACTTGCACAGCCCTAAACAAGCAGTCCTGAAGGAGTGTTAAGAATGAAACAGCTGAGCTGCTAGCAAAAATATGCATCTAATTAAAATCATCTACTGATGGAGAGGAAAAGAAGGTAGGAAATGTTGCACCCTATATTTTTTAAAAAGTGCAAGAGTGATAAGGAGAATTACAGCCTAGCTAACTTTAATTCAGATCCCAGTAAATTGGTTGAAATTATAATTAAAAATAGAATCCAAAAGCATGTAGATGAACACATAGGGAGCACCCATGGGAAAAAAATGGTGGGTGCTGAGCACCCATCGGCAGCCAACCCCCCTCCCCTCCCAGTGCCTCCCACCCGCCAGCAGCAGCTCTGATCAGCACCTCCCCCTCTCTCCCAGCACCTCCCACCTGCCGCAGAGCAGCTGTTCTGCGGCGTGCAGGAGGCGCTGAGGGGGAGGGGAGGAGTGAGGGCTGGGTGCATTCAGGGGAGGGGATGGAACAGGCTGGAAAGAGGCAGGGAGGGGCCTTGGGGGAAGGGGTGGAGCTGGGGATGGAGCCTGGGGGCAGAACCAGGGGATCGAGACCCCCCCCCCCCACACACACACACACACATTAGAAAGTCAGTGCCTCTACTGGTCACTATCTCCAACAGGACAGAGCAGAAATTGCGGGTGGAGGATTCAGAAAAGGGAGAAGGTGTTAATTATAGCATGGAAAGACTTCAGTGTGGGGAGAGAGAGGTTATTATTAGGACTGTTCAGAGAGGAGACAGCAGAGGACATGGCAGAAGTGCACAGACTAACAAACAGCACGGAGATGGTAAATCGATTATCGGATGGTCCTAGTCACCCGCTCTCAACAGTTTTTTCCCATTTTTTTAAGTTGCTGCCTTTCAATTTCACTGAAATACTTTCCCAAGAAATACACAGTGACTCTTCCCCATCAGGTATCACTCAGACCAAGACCTGAGTAGCATTATACATATCCAGGGAGAGTGAGGACAGTCACAGTATGTTAGATAGAACTGCAAAATTATTGGGGATGTAAAACCTCCCAATTCAGGGCATAAGCTGATCCTGAACTGCCTAGAGCTAGGAAGAAACGTCCCCTCTGGGCAGGGTATTCCATGACTGTCTTATTGGGGTTTCTGGAACCTTTCTCTGAAGCAACAGGGAGACAGGATCCCACAGGAGCTTCTTCCCTGGTCTGATCTGCTACGGCAAATCTGGCAAGGATTCTGTTTACTGAATGTACCAGTCAAGAGTTATTGCACAAAATCACATTACAGTACCTAGGTAATTGTCCCAAATGTCAACTCTAAGTTAATACATTTGTGAAAATGTGCCATGAAATGTTATAAAAATGAATCACAACTTAAATGTCTGAAAGTTTAGCAATTCACAATGATATGTCTAATCCCAGCTCCAACCTTTGTGCAGACAATTTCTCCCTGGCCACCACCTTCCTGATGGGGAATGTCCCTGATGGGGAAGTTAGAAATATTATTACAACTTAACATTTCCCCATCACTAAATATATAGTGAATGACAAAATAATACATTCACCTGCTCCCTTCTGTCAATGACTAGGAAGCAAATCCCCAGGTTATTTCAGTGGCTGGGGCACTGGTAAACATAGCTAGCGTGCAATATAAAGCAGAGTGTGTTCTGTTTGATAAGAGCCCTCAATAGCTGCTTAGGAAGTATAAGTTATATTCCCTCCTTGCTAACATTAACGAAGAAACATTACCTTTTTCTTCACGATGTTCTTCTACAAATAAATCATAAAGAAGAGGATGCGATTTAACATATGGCACATTTACAGGAGTATTTTCTACTATTATCTATACATACATGGGCTTACAGCTGTTCCCATTGACTACACTGTTGTCAGGCCCTTGTGTAACGTGATTATGCAGTCATTTGCTCAGCTACATTATTTCCAATTTTTTTAAAAATTGCCACATAATTGTGCTCCATAATCGGGGCTTCTGACTTTTGGGTTTAACTGATAAACACTAATACAATAAGTCCCTAATAAAAATAAATACTTCCAAAGAGAACCAGCTGCAACAATACAGCAATGTCTGCCTGACTTTGCAGAGAGCCTGAAACCAGTGATCTGAGAGATACAAACTGCCCCCTTCATCTCAGGTTGTAGACTCCAAAGCCTTATAGTGACAGCATTCAGAGCTATTTCATGGCTGATAATTTGATCAGAACTTCTCAGCAGTGTGCTTCTCCCTCACTGTTTGATGTAGTGACAGAAATTGGGGTAGAGTGCACTGAGGCAGCTACTTGCCATGAAGGCTGCTGGGTTTAGAATAATGAAATCAAGGCCTTTCCCTCCCAAATTTAATGTCACCTCTGCCTGTGGCCAAAGGGGGCAGATGTATCCCCCTCCTCAGTCTGAAATGCCACCCAGAGTAGGTCTTCACTGCAGTTAGCCCAGATGATCAGCACCCATTCTGAGCCTCTGGGTTAACCTAACCTGGGTGTGAGCAGCCCCACTGCAAAGCCCTACCCCAGTTACTGTGTCCACACTGGTGCTGCGCACCCCGTGTGAGTCCCTAGGACTGCTGGAAACATATCCCATGGTTCTCGGTGCTGAGTCAGCTAAGCCACACTGATTCTTTCCCAGTGAATTATGGGAGAACTTGTCTGTGCTTCTAGCACACCTGGGGGAATCATGGGACGGCACTGGAGGACTGTCAGCACTGAGTGATTTAGCTTGTGTCCTCACTGTAGAATGGGCAGGTTACCAGCCCAAGTGAAAGTGTTACCTGGGCTCTAACCCTCAGCCCGAGATGGGCCAGCTCCCCCTGGACTGAAAGCCCCACTAAACTCAGGTGAGAGCGTTTGTGTGTGGACAGGATGGGGAGAGTTGGAGGCATCACTTCAGTAAGAGCCTGGCTACCTGCAGTAAAGACACAAAATCACCTCCCACACCTGCCCAAACCTCCGGCTCCCCTGCCCCAAACACCTGGGATGCAGTGATATATTTACAATACAAAAATCTCTATTTTTCATGGAAAGCAGCAGTGAAAGAATGCAGCCCATGGGCACTGAGGGTCCCCTTCCTTACATGGCCACTGGCCTGTCAGAAGACAGGGGATCCACAGCGATCCCGAAGCACAGGCCACGTAGGGGCCTCAGCAGCTCTGAAGCACTGCACACCAGATCCCACAGCCACCCATTCTGTGAGATCACAGAGAGGGGCTCAGGGGCAGACCAGAGTCGGAGGCCTGGTCAGTGGGTCTGTGAGCTGAGCAGATTGACTGGGCCCAACCTTACATCCAGAACCGGGTTAGGCTGAGATTTGAATGAAAGCGACACAAGGAACCAGAGAGTGAGCTCTCAGCACAGCCCCAGCTCTGCCCGCTGAGCATGGCCACCAGCGAAGGCCACTGGACATGATCACATCACAGTGAGCAATGGCACAGTGAACGGGGCAATCAGGGCAACACGATGCTCTGTGCACTGAACACACTGCCTCACAAGGCCCTGCTTTGCTTGCACCAATTTTACCCAAGGTGCTTTTCAACTGATTCAGTTAAACTCATGAAAGTTTGTGGGTAGACACAGCCCAAGGGAGTTTAAAGGGGAATCCCCAATGAGATTTCAGAGTCCCCCTTCTGAGAGAGGGAGCCAATCATGCACTGGTCTCAAACGTTTCAAGTTGTTCATTCCTCAATTAAAGTCAAAAATTTTCACAACCCCCTTTTATTTATTATAAAAGTCAGAGTAAAACATATATCAATAACTAAGATAAGCCTGGATAATCCATCACAACCACTAAATTTACTGTATGTGACCTCCCAAACTCGGAAGGTTTTGGCAGCCCCAAAGTTATTCTGGACATTTTCTTTTCTTTTCTTTTCTTTTCTTTTCTTTACAACTGTTATAATATTTTCAACACCTCACCCCCCCCCCCACAATAGCCTTCTATGACCCCATTCCAGAGGGTCATGACCTGCCAGTTGATAAACGCTGGTTTAATTAGTACAGCAGGATGCCTGAGGGAATCATGTTTCTGTGAGGATCTCGAGATGTCAGTCAAACTCCCTTTGGTGTAATTGGAAATTACCCATCTACAGAGAATCTTGGTACTTTCTCATCCTCTTCATTGTTTGCAAATAGCTACATAAAAGCTTTAACACGCCCCACTGGCCCAGACACTGACCTTTCTGTCTCTCCAGATCAGATCGCAGCATCTCTAGGGGGAGAAAATGGTGAGAGGTAAGATTTCACCATCATGTTTACAGGCACATCACTACTGTTAACTTAGCACAGTCACACTAGGGTGAGAGAGGCGGACAGACAAAAAATGGACACTCAGACAGATCTGTCCAGGGGCCTTTGCACTCAGTGTCCCTGCTGCCTGGGACTGAGTCATGGTAGCACACAATAGTGGGGACACGATGACGTATCCCCTCCCGTGGCCACTTAAAAGTCTCCCCACAGAAGCCACCCCACTGTCTGCGTCCCAGTCACACCCCTCTCAAATCTGGCTGTTGTGACGGGGTTGAGAGAAGGTCTCTTTGTCTTAGGCCAGGTGTACACACAAAGTTTCACTGGTTTAATTTAGAAGTGTGTACAATAGTAGGATACTTCTCCCCAGCATGGAGGTGCTGCCACGCCTCAGTTTCCCCTCTCAGACAGTAGTTCCCCAGGGGTCTAAAGTCTGCAGCTGCTGGAGGGGTAACTTGTGGTGAAGTAATTTTGGGTTCAGTTCTCTGCACAAAGCTCTGTCGGGGCCCTTCCCCTTTGCAGGATCAACAAAAAGTCCAATGAGTAAAGTAGCTAAACAATCTGCTCCCCTCCCCTGCCCCCACTGGGTCACAGCCATTCTCTGGGCTCAATAATCCTTCTAGACTTCAGACAGCTCATCCCTAGCCCCCTCCCATCTCTCCAACTTTGCAATCCCTTACCCAGGGCTCAGTCAGTCCTCCTACCCTCACCATTGGGGTTTACGTCCATCTCCTCCAGGTGATGCTATGGGAGGCCCTGGGTTCCCCTTCTACTCTCGATTCCAGCCCAGCGACCCTAAATATGCAGGGACTGTTCACTCTGCTCAGTAACCTTGAGTCGCTTTTCCCTGGGCTGCTTCCTACACCGTCTGTCCCTTTCTGGGTTTCTCTGCAGCCTCTCCCAGGCTGCTGCTTCCCCGCTCTCCCAGGCCCTTTTCTGGCTAAACCCCCTCTCTGGCTATGTTACCAACCCTCCTGCCACGCTGCTGTGCAGAGACCCATCCCAGGTCCTTCCCTACCCTGGTCACCAGCCTATATTCCAGCCTGGTACCACGGCCTGCCAGGGGTATTAGCTGGAGGCTCCTCCATGCAGCCATGGGCATGGGCAGTGTGAAAGTAGAATTAATTATATTGAAATTATAATTCATTAAAGAAATGCTACTTGAAGGGTTTGTTGAAATATAGTTGTCAGGAAGAGAAACATTAAGGAGTGTGAGACAATGGGTCCTCAAACTAATTAACTTAGAGCTCCTACTGAGCTAGGAGATTGGTAAATGTTAGTATGCAAATAAGATATGTATGTATATTTGTCAGTTTCTGCTTTCTTTTGTCTCTTATGTTAAATTGGCTTTGGCTTAGCTGTATAAATAAGTTATCTTGAGCCTCAGAGAGGGGCTCACATCCGGGTGCATTAGCAAAGCGCTTTGCTAATAAACAGAGTGGTCTGACAAATTATGTGAGTCCTGAATCTGACTTTGACAATTTGGAGGTTCCACCGAGATGGCAACCGTCTTCACTGGGGCCGTGTGACTCCTGAATGTTCTTAGGACGGTCGTGGCAAGCCGGCACCTGGGCATTTGGCCCGAGCGGTCCTCCGCCAGAACGGAAGGGTGCATGACCACAGTGAAGTCTACGCCATCGAAGCTGTTGGTTCCCACTCTGTTCTGGTAGGGATCCCGGGATCTGACATCAGGAATCTGGTCAGGTAATTATTTCTGTGTTTTGTCCGGACTGAGGACTGTCTTGTCTCTGTGTCTATCCGTCCTCCCTGTGGTGTGTTTGAGTCTGGGCGCCGTCTCCATCTGGGGATCGGCTGACCAAAGGGTTCCTGTCCCCACGGTCTGCGTGAGTGAAATCTGCACAATCGCAGCCGCACCGCGCCTTGGGTAAAACCCTTGGTGTGAAAGCAAGGACGATTGAGGCAGTAGCCTGTGGGCTCCTTTTGTGTGTTGCACCGGGCATCGCTCTGACGAACCCGACTTTCCTTCTTGTGTGATTGGTGTGTAAAGTCCTCCTGCTTGGGTAACCAGACGTCTAAGTCGGGACAGTTCCCTAAAGGAACGCTGGCTCGGTTTATGTATTTTAGGAAGATTCCGGACTCCTGTAAATTTCTGGGAAAATGGTATAGGCTAATGGGGTCAGATAGAGTGGCTACTACCACCACTATGCTTCTGTCCCCAGAAGCCTTTACAGCTATTCTGAGGGAAAATGTGCCCTTTTCCCACAGAAATGGTCTATAAGGGACTGCTGCAGGCAGCAGGCAGAGAGAGAATCTGATCAAAATTGTTTGACTATTGGGTAATGTAATCAAAATCACTAAAGGATGTAAGGGGTTTCTATTGGAACTTAACTTGGCTGCTCCTGGCTGTGTCTAGTTGTACAAGATGGAAGTGTAATCGGGGTTCAGTTGTGTAAAAGAGTAATCACAGTGCAAGGGATGTTAGGCAAAAGAGAATTTTGTGTGTGTGTATAGTGCTAAAATCTGAAGCTGTGTCTCAGCTATTACCTGAGAATAAACTTAAAGCTTGGTACAGCAGAGAAACTATTGCAAACATGGTCTGTTGCACAAGAGGGGAAACTGAGGAACACCACCTCATGAATTTCATAAATGACCAGTGAGTGGGGTAATTCACTAGCCTGACTATAGAACAGCCTGACTATAGAACAAAATAAGTACAGCCTGGAGGTAATTCTTCTGTTTTTCCTGCAATTAGCAAGGAAATTTGTAAAAGAAAGTGGTATTATTATTAAGCAATAATCTGTCCCCACCAGGGGGGGTGGAAATTGTTTCTTTTGTTTTTAGACTCTACAAGCAAGCTGGCGCCAGCGGAAGAATAACTCAGAATACCATGAAGAAAAGGAGTACTTGTGGCACCTTAGAGACTAACCAATTTATTTGAGCATGAGCTTTCGTGAGCTACAGCTCACTTCATCAGATGTTTACCGTGGAAACTGCAGCAGACTTTATATACACACATATACACAGAATACCATGGATCTATGTTTTGTGGTGTTTGTCTTGTTGCTAGCATTGTTGTGTTTTAATGAACAGAAAACCTCATGACATGGGTGGGGGATGGCTTCAAAAGGCTGACCTTGGAGGGGATGAGGGGGGGGAAAGATGTGTATGGGAATGCAAAAGGCTAACTCAGGAGAATCCCAAAATTCAGTGGCCACTGTTAGGATCTTGGGACAAAGACCGAGTAGACGTCCTAAAAGACAAACTCGGCCAACCTAAAACTAAATTGGCAAAAGGAGAGGTTGATTGTTTCATGCAGTGGTGGGAAGAGGCAAATCATAGGTGGACAGAATCAAAACTTGCCTCTCTCAAAGATTCTAGCTTCTATCCCACCAGATGCAACTCATTTTACTGTTGTTGATTTGTGCTCTGCTTTCTTTTCTGTCCTGGTTCACCCTGACTCTCAGTTCCTGTTTGCCTTTTCTTACAAGGGGCAACAGTACACATGGACCACACTACCCCAGGGATATACTGAAAGCCCATCCTATTTTTCCCAGGCATTAGCCTGAGACCTTGCTGACCTTGTTTTCCTGTCCAGGTTCACACTAGTCCAATATGTAGATGATCTACTCCTCTGTTCTGCTTCATTGTCTGCCTCTGAAACTGACTCTTTAGTGCTCCTTACTGCCCTAGCAAATAAGGGTCACAAAGCTTCTCGCTCTAAACTACAACTCTGTCAAGCTTCTGTCACATACCTCGGCTTTCTCCTCTCCCAGGGTTCCCAGGCACTTTCTCCCACTCGCGTCCAAGCTATCCTTACCTTTCCCCGACCCCGCTCCCCAAGCCAGGTCCAGAAGTTTTTCGGCATGGCTGGATTTTGCAGACAATGGATTCCCCAATATGCCTCCCTTGCAAAACCTCTCCAGGAACTCACTCGATTCTCTGTGCCTGACCCCATGCTGTGGCCCCCTGAGGCCAATTCTGCCTTTGTTTCCCTCAAACAGGGTTTGGCTTCTGCCCTTGCCTTAGGGCTGCCTGACTATTCTAAGCCTTTTATCCTTTCCTGCCACGAACAATCTGGGTGTGCACTTGGAGTTGTCACTGAGATGCACGGAGAAAAGAACCGCCCAGTGGCTTATTTCTCTGCCGCTTTAGACCCTGTTGCCCAAGGCTTACCCCCCTGCCTGCGTGGTCTAGCTGCTGCAGCGTGCCTAGTCGCAGTGTCTGATTCCCTTGTTCTCTGCTCTCCTCTTACCCTCCTGGTCCCTCACTGACCTCGCCCTGCTCCAAGACTCTGCCCCAGAAACCGAGAAAGAATCCTGGGTTGCCCAAGGTTGCTCTCTACATCCCGATTCTTTTTGGCGCTCGCCTACTGGTGCCTTTGTAGCCCCCTTTTCACTCTACCCGTCTCTGGCCGCCCTGCTACACGGTGTTTCGCATGTTGGAAAGGAGGGGATGGTCTCTGCTGTAACAAAGACAGGATGGTGGGCCCCCCATTTTAGCTCTTTTGCAGCCCGCCACTGTGCAGCCTGTACCATTTGCCAAAGCCATAATATTGGTAAACCTGTAAAAGTGGCCCAGGGGTTCCGGGACCTGCCTCAAGCACCGTTCCTGCACAAATGCCTAAGTGTCAACAATATGAATTGATATTGGTTATGGTATGTTTATTCTCTGGTTGGAGTGAAGCCTTTCCTTGTCGCAAGGCTGACTCACAGTCTGTTGCCAAATGTTTGTTAAATCATATTATGCCTGCCAAGGGAATTCCTGCTACTCTGTCCAGTGATCGGGGTACACATTTTACTGGACAACTTGTTCAACACCTGGACCATATATTGCATACCAGACACCTGTTGCACTGTCCCTACCACCCAGAGAGTGCAGGTGCAGTTGAAAGACGAAATGGTGTACTTAAGAATAAGCTTGCTAAAATTTGTGACTCTCCAGGATTAAGCTGGCCAGTAGCCTTACCATTAGCCCTTATGGACATGAGATCCACTCCATCCCAAA